TGTTGCATGACTTGTGCTGGCTGTGGCATCATTTGTGGTTGTGGCATTGCTTGTGGCTGTGGCACTGCTTGCTGCAGCATCTGACTTGGCACATCCACGGTGGCCATTACTGCAGACAGGTCTTCAGTGTCCTTCAGGGCAGCTTGAACCTTCTTTTTCTTGTTCACCAGCTCGTCCAGCTGTAGCTGAGTCAGTCTTCTTTGTAGCTCTCTTTCTTGACTTTTTAGTTTCAGCTCATTTTTGCGATATTGTTCTACTGCATGAGCCACATAATCGCTGAACTCTCTTGTTGGCTTCGAGCTCAGTCCAACCACATCTTCCAGCTTAGCCTTAACCGCGGGGGGCATGGCATCAACTATAGCTTTCCTGAAGAGTGCTGTCATGACTGGGTCTTTTTCAGGATCCCTTTCCAGCTCCTGCTTCCATCTTCGTGCTTGTCTCTGGACATAAGTGATGGGGTTTTCTTCATCCCCAATTTGTTCTCCTTTCAGCATCTTGGGGTCCATTTGGGTTGGGTATTCATTTCTTAGGGCACGCCATATGTTAGCCCTGTGTTTGTCCAGAGGCACAGCATCCATTATTGTTGCGTCCACTGCTCCTGGAATTCCAGATGCCCTCAGCAACTCATTCATCTTGGCTCCTCCCACACATTTTGCCAGCAATGCCTTGACGTCCCCGACGGCAAGGATCCGTCCCATTGTTTCTTCTTCCAAGAGCTTAATCCACTTTCCTGCCCCTTCATGTAGGTCAGGTAGGCGAGCAATCAGTCCTTCAAGATCCTGTCCTGCCCATGGGATGTATTGTCCTTGTTGTCCTTTGATCAAAATGGGGCATTGTGCATGTTGTCTGTCAGGGGTCTCTTTGTCCTGGAATAAGTCGAATTTGGGAGTCCAGCCCCTAAGATTTCGTCCTCTTTGCCAGTATGGTGTACTATCAGGTAAGTCTTCCAGCAGGAGGGTGCCAGTCACTTTCTTGTACTCTCGGCAGGGGCTGGAGGAGCGAGATCTCACAGGATGTTTCTGTGACTCTTTCCAGTGTTGTTGGTGTCTCTTCTTCTCTGTCCCCACAGCGCCGAAAGAGTCCCGCATGCGCCTTTCTTCTTGTTTGATTCGTTCGTCAGTTATACGGATCTGCCGGGTGAGTTCATCATAGTATTCAGCACGAGCATGTGAAACATCTTTCCTCACCTTCCTCTTTACTGCATTGGGAGGTCCTTGAACAAGGTTGTGGTCTGCCTCTTCTTCCTTTTCCTTCTCTTCAAGGCTGTGCAACGCTTCCTGTGCATGGCAGTATGGGTTTTCTAGGGTGGGACCCTCATTGTGTGTGGTGTGGGGCTCGCCTGTCCGTTCATCGCTTGGGCCTCCCTTGCATTCACTCCTAATGACCCATTCGTCTTGTTCTTCATTTCTGCTCACATCCTCTTGTTCAATAGGTGTTCCCCTTCTAGAGACTGGCTTTCTGGATGCCTCTCCCCTGTCAAAGTTTCTTATTTCCACTTGCTCTTGTTCTGCCCTCTCTCTTTCTTCTCCTTCTTCATCATCCGCAAAGTCCACATGGCCTTCTATTTTCACTGTACCAGTCATCAGAGGCAGCTGTTTCCCAGTCATATCATAGGGTGGTGCATAAGGGGGTGGGGTTTCTATCTTAATTTCCTCTTTCTCTTTTTTATTTCTCATCTCTTTTAGTAATTGTATTCCTACATCTCTAAATAACTTTAGCACCTCCTGCTCTTTGTCACGTTTTTCCTGTCTTTTCTTGCTCTTATCTTGGGCTTTGTGGTTCTTTATTAATGCTCCCATTTCCCTACACATAGCCAAATCAAATGTTCCCTCTGCTGGCCACTTAGTGTTTAGTTTTTTGGTCCTTTTTTCCCACTTTTTTGACAAGTTTTTAATGGTATCCCTACATATTGGATATTGAGACGCCAGTTGCTCCACTGGTGGCTCTTCTTGGGGTGACATCGAAGCCATCGTCTCAGCACCTTACTGTCTGTTCTTTAGGTTATTTGAACTGAGATGCAATCACTCAATTTTGATCAATTCAGGTATCTGTTTTGTCTTTTTGAAATATTTCAAAATAATTCGTATTGGTACCTCAGACAGTGGCCTCGACGTCACCTCTCCTAGTTTGCTGTATGTACTGTCTTTCCAAATGATGTCTTCCCCCAGATAAATTAACTCGAAGTCCCAGGTTATGATTTCCCCAAACCACCGGCCTCGTGCAGTTATTTCTCCTCCCCTATATTGATAGGTGAGAGATGGAGTCAATTTTACTTTGCTGCCTTTTAACATGGTTATTGATATGTTTAATTCTTCTTTGGTGCAGGTTTCTAACGCTAAGGGTTCAAATAATTCAATCAATGTCATTCGTTCTTTTTGAGTCAAATTCCTCTTCCCCCTATTTCCTCTCTTGCCTGATCTATTCGACCATCCTTGCCACATTTTCAGCTGCTACTGTTGCCACTGGCACTTCCTCTACTTCCTCCTTGTTCTGTCTTATTTCTATCAGCAGATGGTGAATGCTGTTTGGGTTGTTTCTCAGCACTATCAATACCACCAGCTTATCCAGCGTCCAGTTGTCTACTAAGACTGGTCTGATTTCCCCTTCACTTCCTACTTCAACAATAACATCACTTTCCCACTTCACTGGCCTCACACATGACCCCACTATCATGTAAATGTTCTGTAGGATTGTTGAGCCCCCCAGTCCTGGTGGCCAGAAATGTGCTCGATTGCTTTTCAAATATGGAACACACACTGGGTTTAATTTTATTTCTGACGTTACCATCAGCGCATCCAAAAGGAGAGATTTGGGTAGCTCAAATTTGTTTAAGTGCTGTCGCACAACTTCATGCGTTATTTGGCTCTTGACTACTTTAAACCAATCTATATAGGGCCATTCCTGTTCAAGCTGATCAATGTTTGTTATCTTAACCAGATCTCGCAAGAGTTCATCTCTTATTTGGTCTGTTAGTATTTGTCTCTGTCCTTCCTCATTTATGAACTCTCTTTCTAACCAGAAATGATTTTTTATGCCTTTAGTCAATTCTGATGCTTGTCTTAGTTTTTCATCTTCTCCCTGTCTTCTGATCCACCTCATATGTCTCTCCCTCTGATAATCACTGAGTCCGTCCCACATTTGTTCTGTTTTTAATGTTTCAAAAAGCTTTTTGTTGCTTGTAGCTTTCCTATCCTCTTTTAGCTATTTTCCTTTCTTGCTCTCACACTTTCACACTTTTTACTCTCTTCTCATTCACACACACACAGGATTTCACTCACACACTTTTCCTGACAGTTAATATATTAATAGGCCTTTTACTTCTTGCTTAACAAAGGTTTCGTCTCTTTGTCTGGATCACAGAGCTCACAATCTGGCAGATGTCCAAACAAACGACAAAACCAATATCTTGGAATATTCTTTGCCTTATAATTTTTATACTTCTGAGATTTTTCTTTACCGATTAGATTTTTGCCATCCATCAATTTCTTCAATTAGTCTATTAATCCATGGTTTGAAGCTTTTTATTCAATGTGCACAATTTTATTACTGCTATTCTCTTTCTTCCTCAATCTTAGTTTCTCTCTCTTATCAATGTTTCAGGGGCTTTTTGGCAGTGTGCCCAGTTTTCAGCCTGCAGGCTCACTCTGTCTATTTTTAGAACTGGGAGATCCCCTCTTTCTTTCTCTATCTAAAGGATTTTTACCTTTTCTTATAAGCTTTTTCTTTTAATTTCAGGCGCCTATGTTCAATTAGCTTTTATTACATCAACTTTTTTGTCAATTTTAACGGTCTTTTTCTATCTTTCTGCAGTTTTTTCACTTTCTTGTGCTATTCTTAGGCCGGCACACTCTTATACTCACAACACAAACAACAATTAAAGCATTTCAAAGCATATCTTCATCACTCATTCCAACAGATTTACCGCTCTTCTGGTAACCTGCCCCCTATAGCTCCTCTTATAGGGTTTCAAACATTCACACAGGTAAAATACAGCTCCTCTTGTAATATTACCCCTGTGGCTCTTCTCACAGTTTTTAACATTCATTCAGGCAAAAGCACAATTTTTATGCTATATTACCCCCTACAGCTCCTCTTGCAGGTCTCATTCACTCGTTCATGCCTTCATTCATACACATATATGCGTTTTTCTTCCTTTTGACCCAAAACCTAGACTTTTATAATCAATTTTCACTTTATCTTTAGGTTCGTTTTTCGGCAGGGTTTTAATTTCAACAATATGTTAAAATATTTACCAACCAAGATGACAGCTCTGTCAGAGACCACACGAAACAAATTAAGCAAAAAGCTGCTTACCTTAGTTTTTTGGTCGACCGTTTGTTTCGTGCGATCTCCACCAGAGGGCGTCACCCACGGCTGTCCCCTCCTCGAAGACTCCTGGCTGGCTCGCCAAATATGTCGTGGCCAATTCGTGGTTCAATCTCAATTTTCAAAGTCTGGTTGAGTTCTCAGAAGAAATCTTTCAGAGTCGAGGTTTCAGGTCTCAGAAGAATATAACTTTATTGAGCAGTTCAACAAAGTGAGAAGCCAGCTGGACATTCTGATCTTACAATGGTCAGTACTTGGTTCTTATACATTTTCTTATCTTTACCTGTCCAATTAGTGCCTGTTTTGTTATCTTTTCCCCTTTGCTCCTCCCCACTATTTCGCCACAATTGTTGTTCCAGACTCGCTGTCTCGTTTCTAACTGTGGCCAACCTTTGGTACATATATTTTTTAAAAATGATTACATACACAGTTTTAAAAGACCTTTGCACCTTTGCTATTGTTTCTCTACTGTTGGTTTCCTGTTTTTGTTTTCCATACATGTAGACATACACTTGTTTTTCCATACATGGCGACATACAGGGTGTCTAGGTGCTTTCCTGTTTTCTAGTCTTCTCTTACATCATCTTTCAGGCCTACTTTCATTTTGTGATACATGTATAGGGACAGCAGAATTCTCCAACACAACCTATACAGTTCAGAGTGCTCTTTCTCACTCTGTCCAGTCTCTTCTCCATAAAGAGCAGCAAAGTGTGGACACAGTCCATGTTGACTCCGCTGGACTCCTTTGAACCTTCGGATAGGCGAACGGATAGCAGAACATCCAGGCATTGCAGAGGGAGCGCTGAGAGGACATTTACTGTGTGTCTGTGGACATTCAGCACAAAAGAGTTATAGAGATCAATAGGATGAGACCTCTCAAGACTTCATCACACTGGTTTAATTCTCACTCTCACCCTTGCAGCTCCTCTTTTCTTTCCTCTCCCTCACAGTTCACGAGCAGACAGTGACGCAGGACTGCAGCTAGGTGACGATACAAAGCCGCAGCCTCCTGTGGCCAGAAAAGAAGAACCCAAAATGTTGAAAATAAATTCCTTAACAGATGGGCCATCCTGTTGGTGTAGATTTTCATGCCCTCATCATATACCTCTTATTAGGTTGGAGAAAATAACTAAACTTTCAATCATATTAGTTTGGTTTTTTTTTTACGTACAATATCACAATTAAGTGAATTGGGATGAATTCATTTTTTTTCTTTCATTTTTCAAATATATTCAAAATTCCTGTGTTCTTAACATCCTCTTCCTTGTGAAGCCCCATACATGGCATGCAGAAATAAAATCGATATTGTGGCCACAAATTAAGAATTTGTTTTTATGACAATAATTCTTGGCCATGCATGTTGTATTAATTTGTTCTCTTCTTTTAGTTAAAGCAACTTACTAATCAATGCCACATTGTACTAATTCATTCCCTCATTTTAATCTAGTTAATTCATGGTCACAAATTAAGAATATCTTTTTTTTTTATCTTGTCTTATTTTATTTACCTCGTCTACTTCCTGTCTGTGCACATTATAGGTAATGTTGAATAGGATCTTCAGAATCTCAAGGGCACGTTGTGAAACCTCCTTACACACAGGGGGTGCTGTCAGGTCAGTCAGCACCTCATGCGTTTCACCCCAGCACACTTCTAAACACTGTTCCAGAGCTGCAGTCAGCATGGACACACCGCGCTCCTGACAGGAAGAGAAGGCACAGAATGAGATAATGAAGATATGAAACCCAAATTAAAAAGTCTCGTAACACTTTCTTTTATGTGGTCTGTGACTCTTAGGGGGTATACAGTGATACTGCAGGGGCTCCAATAAGTCTTAGTTTATCTCAGTTGCTTTGGTGCATTTCTCAGATCACAACTGAAATTCTCAAAACTACTTGTTCAACCTCCACATCATCTTGTCACTTGTGCACATCATAAAATCAATTTCTCATTCTTTTAAACAAATTGCAAATGCTTTGGTACATTAATGCAATTGATTATTATCAACTGTTTATGTCATGTTGATCAAAATATAGGCCTATTATACTATTTCTCTGTTGAATTCTCGTACTCTTCGAAACATCTTAGGCATTAGTTCCTTGCATAAGTCATTAAATGCAAAATGGTGGACTTGTTGTCATAAACTGTCAACCATGTTTTCAATACATTTCTATTAGACTTTATTTTGTAAATATGTCCTGAATTGATGAATTGCGGAGGTGAATTATGAATTTCACTAATGAAGGAAATAATAATGAATTGATAAATTAGGAAGCAGCAGGCAATTGTACATAATCAATTGCATGTATTTACCAAAGCATTGGCAATTTGTTCAAAAGAATGAGAAATTGCTTTTATGATGTGCACAAGTGACTATGATGTGGAAGTTAGTTATGCAAATTTCAGTAATGATCTGAGAAATGTACCAAAGCAACTGTGATAAAAAATTAAGGATTCAGGAATTTTATACAAAATTTAACAGTGAGTCCCTGCTCCTCTCCACCAAGGGGCCATTGGGCTGAAATAGTTTGAAGACTCCTGCTTCATGGGCACACATATGTATCACCAATAATATCCATTCCATATTACATATAGCCTATACGTATCACTGAGTGTTACCTGGCGGAGCTCTATCCTAAGTTCAGGCCGTAAAGCAGTCAAGAGAAACAGAAACCGCAGTTCATAAAATTGACCAATTGGAGGTGATGAGGAATGTATCCCCTCCTTAAGTCTCTCTGACAGGCCAGGGAGCAACCTGATGAAAAAAACAAAGCACAAAAGAATGAATCAGACAGAGTGCGTTTTCGCTAACAATATTGAATTATTTGATGTTACTGCACATGACAAAAAAAAAATGAACATCTTAAATTTTAAGCTATACTTCAGGGTGCTGGCTCTCTCTTGTGCTTTCGTGCTGTTGTAGATGACATTGCACAGAGCCTTTATTGCCTCTTTCCTCCAGATCTCTCCATCATCATGGCCCTCCTCATCCTTTTCACCTCTGGCATCCCTCTTTCCTCTCATCAACATCCCACAGACCCCATCTTTCCTTATGCTTTCTTCATGGTGGTCGTTTTGTGCTCCAGTACAGTTAGATGTTAAATTCACAGGATTGAATTGCAAACATCCTTCACTGACCGAAGACTCAGCACAGGCTGCGGAGGCAAAGACTGAATCATCTGTCTCACTGAAACATGTTGGGCTTTGGGTATTGCTGTCATTATTTTCTGGGCGTGTCTCCGTCTCATTCTCAGGAGTGATGTCACTGTGGGAGGAGCCCCACTGGGCAGCCTCTTCTTCAGGCCAGGTAGGCAGGGTGGAGATTCCCCCGAGTCGAGCGAGAGTTAGAATGGCATAGTCTGTGATCAAGGGGGCCAAGGCCTTTCGGTCCCGTGAGATGATTCGCAGAGTTCGCAAACACACCCTCAAAACGCCCGGCTGCAGCCGCATGCGAATAAACAAGATCAGAGCTGCAGCAAGCCTCTGAAGGAGACCGAAAAGAAAATGGTTAAAAGGTTTAAGTTACCCCTAGCTGTTTCACAGACAGGGCTTAAACCTAGTCCCAGACTAAAATGCATGTTTAAGCTGTTTTAACTGAAAGCAATTTGCACTGGCATATCTTAAAATATGTCAGTACCATTGTTTGGTCTCAAGATGCACACCTGTAATGTTTTTTTAAGTAAACCTAAAGTTCAGCTAAAAATAAGTTTAGTAAAACTGTAAATCAATAATGATAATTTTAATGACTTCGTAACCATAAAATTTGTAGGCCTACATTAAACATTAAAGGTGTCCTATTATAGCCTGGCTCCGCCCTCCTACGCACTTCCGCTCAATTTCATTTTCCTTCAGTACTACGTCTGGGATTGTGCTGTAGACTTTGGTTTTCTCCGATCAATTTTTTGTAGGGCCAATCAGCGAACAGAGGGAGTGGCTGAGAACGATGACGTTGTGCGTTATTTTGAGTTGTAGTTCAGTAATGGCAGCGGAGAAAGATGCGAGCGAAGCCATTCGGTCCGTTGTAGCAACTCTGCCGAATATTAAGAAGTTAAAGCCGGAGCAAGAACAATCTTTGCTTAGGTTTATTTTGGCCATGATGTTGTGGCCCTCCTCCCCACGGGGTTCGACATACATCACGAGCAAACGTTAGCGATTGGTGGCAGATCCAGAGTGACTCTGGGCAGATCCAATAGTTTTAGACTTCAATAGAGTACCCGCCTACAAGGAAGTTAACGATTGTCAATGGAGCGGTGCCAGACTCTCTGTACAAATGAAATGTACGAGAGTCTGGTAGAACCAGGCTAGTCCTATTATGCCCCTATTACGAAGTTGCGGCATTTTCGATTAAGCCCCTCCTTCCGATAATACGAAATGTGCTGTGATTGGTTAGCTGGCCAAGTGTGTTGTGATTGGCAGCGCTTAGCCGTGTGGTCCGGGGAAATGTGATGCCCCTTCATAACGGCGAGTTCTACCAAAGGTTCTACTCAGATGGCGTCAATTTCAAAGTTATGACTTCATAACATCCGGAAAAAGTGCGTTGTAGTCCGACTCTAAATGAGCCGTTCGTTGTAGTTCTTCAAATGGGAATTCTGTTAAACAAATATCTCCCTTTATAGTGGACTTTGAGCTTTGTCACCTTGCAGATTTTTTTATGCTCAAAAAGCTACATTACACGCTAAAGTTGAAAAAGCAGGACCCCTTTAATATGGCACTATGCATGTGTTTTTAAAGTCCAGGTTTAAAATGCAGCACTTAATTTTATACAAAATTTAACGGGGAGTCCCTGCTTTCTCTTCACAGTGATGATGAGGCCCATTGGCATGAAAAAGCTTGAAGACTCCTGCTTTATGGACAACAGGACAACTAAAAATGTTAATGTAAGGAACTGAAATTCATGTAATTTTTAACTAGAAAAGATAGTTAAGACAAAAGTTTTAAAGAATGTTTTCTTAATAAGACTTTGTTTGATATTTTGAACAAAGTTTGAACGTCTTTGAGAAAACCTTTAAAGCCTTCAAGTTGGAAGGTTTATAAATAGATTATAGAATGACAGAACAATTGATAGATAGAACAATAAATAGATTTTTTTTCTATTACAATTGAATAAATTACGTAACTTCCTGTGAGGCGTGACCATCTTTATTTAAATTCTAAATCAATTGAAAGGATGAAAAATTCTGAAAATTAACTTGAAGAAATGGGGTGTGTCTCAATCAGCTCCCATTCAGTAGCCTAGTCAGGGCACTGATCAGGGAGACGGCCTTTTAAAGGCATCGATGCTCACTATGTTCCCTTAACGGAAGTTCTGAAGAGCAAAACATAAATCATACGGGCCAACTCGCATGCTATGTTTTTTAAAATACAAACAATTATTTAATTGTATTTCAGCCTAAACATACATGGCTAGACAGGTAATTAACATAATCCAGCAAACATAATTTATTTACGGCTGAAATGTTGCACGGATTTAACAAGCAAAATATTTATCATAATGTATTTAAATAACATTAAAAATGATGTCAGAAAGTTATCAGCTCTGATGTTGTTCATAAATACCAGTAGTGATGTTGTATAATGAGGACATTGTCAGTCACATCGCCGGAAATAGTCATCAGTGTCCCAATGTGTAGTGAGTCAGAGTTCTTACTGTCCTTAGTGTCTGAATTCATGTTGATGTACTGATTCACAACCTAGGAAGCTATAGGAGCTGATTGAGACGCACCCATAGATGTGATTCTGGGTTGTTCATTTACTTTTGGTCATATTGTTTGAAAGAAGTTGTGTTTGACTCACCCTCCGCAGAACAAGATCTGGATCCTCATTCTCATCAAAGTCAAAATCGGAGTCTGAGTCTGGAACATACTCTCTCACTTTATTCCTACGGAACTGAGTAGAGAAGAACAAACACAAGTATACTTGTATACTTGTATACTTCTAATGTATACATTTACAAGAGAAAGTGTAGTTAGACAAACAGAAAAAAACAAGCTTTTGCAAGAACTGAGAGGTGACAGGGGAAGAATAAAGTCAATGACTACCTTCAAGCTCAAGATTCAGATTTTAAACACTGGCCTGCTTCTTAAGATATCAACAACAGAAGTTCATTTAAGACTAATAAAAGCTTCGGTTAGAATCCATGAACACAGAGGAGAGATTATAAAAGCTTTTGTGAGCACAGGCATGATGAACAGAGGTAAATGGCTTTTGTGAGTGTATGAGTACCAATAAATTATCTTTTTGACACACGGCACAATAATTGGTCCTCAGTAACAACAAAATAATGATCTCAAAAGAGTGAACAGGCCCTTCCGACACCGACATTCTGGGAGCCGGCATGTACAGGTGCCCCAGGGTGAGATAGACGGCGAGTATATTAGTTTCAGATTATCCACCTCTCTCATTTTTCTTCCCCACAGACATCTCACTCCCTTTTACAGCAAATACCTTTTCTTTTTCTTTATGTCATGTGAAAGATTTACCTCATCCAGCTCTCTTTGCTGCATTGGGCAAAAAGTGAAAAATCATGATTAAAAAACATGTTTGTGAGTATATGCACTGAAAAAATGAGATGAGGGTGAAGTGAGGGATAAAGATAAGTGAAGATGGATGAGTGAGATTTACATTATTAGCTGTGTTAATCCAAGCCATGTGTGTCCTCAGATTGAGGACAGATGGATAAACGAGGAAAGACTTTAGAATTTACCTTTCTTCTCTCCCTTTCTTCCACATCAAAAAAGAAACATTGCGAGTACTGTGAAAAACAGACGGATTATTAAAAGGTGAAATATAAGAGAGACAAAAGGATTTAAAGGCTCTGCAAATGCTAGACACATAAAACTTCGCTACATCACAGAAATTGTAAAATGACTGGATAAGTAATGAGAAACACCCTTCAGGTTTACCCCAGTTCTGTTGTCATGGAAACTGCTAATATCTGAGTGTTGTAGAAGTAGTAGAAGATTCTAACACAGTTTTTTGTTTCTGCCAGCACAGCGATTATCATATTGAGCACAGAATTAATCTTATTAAATTTAATTACATTTCTGCATTTCAGCAAATTGTATTTACCTGAGCGTTGTAATCATCCAGATGGATTTGAACATTGTCCTGGTCACCTTGTTTGATAAACTGAATAATCTTCTCCACGTCTAGAGGCATTCTTAATAATAATCAACCAACATACGACATATGTAAAGATAATTTACATATCTAAAGCAGTACTGATACAATCTTATATAATGTTTAGAGATGCATTCATATTCCTGCACTTACCCTCTGTGGTTTTAAAAATGTGTGATGGTTTCCCTGCAAACAACTCGTTTTAGTGTAGTGCTTGTCTTCATGGGTTCCTATCTGTAATCTGACAGGCCTCAGATTTAGCTTTGAGTTTTCCTAAACTAATCCCACCCATCCTCTCTCACTCATTCACAACATGCTCATAAATCTATTTCTGCCTCCACGATTGTGCATTTGGCCCTGTCTTTTGACGAATGTTTGCTGTTTTGTATTACCTTTCTTTGTTAATAATACAATTTATTGCAATAGTTATCCTCAGAACAGCAGCGCTAATTAGTGAGAAAGCCAATAGGGCCAGACAATAGGGAGAAGAAAAAGCTTGAGCAGCTATGCTGGCATTCAGACAACAGTGAGAAAAAGACAGGGTTGGAGAGAGAAAAAAATAGAGAGGGGGATAAAAGCAGTACACGTTTATATAAAGCTTAATAGGGGTAATTAAACAAAGTGGGTGTCAGAAAGAGAAAGGCTGGGATGACTGGGATAAGCTGATGGGGTAATTATTTGTACTGATTGAAGGTGATTCATTGAGGCTAGTTGTTCAGATACAGCTCACTGATGGACCCTCATAAAAAGCAGGTGAACAGAGAGACAGGACAAAAACGGAAAGAGAGAAAAGAACACCAGTAGGCTACTGGCGGGCTGGCGAAACACATTCATTCTTCTTGACAAGACACAATCAACCTGGCCAGACAGAAAGAGTTTATTTTTTATTTAGTTTCGTAATCTGTTAAGTTTCCTCAGAAGGAGAATGCACAGATCTGGATGGCTCCTGTTGTCGTTGTGTGCCGGCTCTCTGGTGACCCACAGTGGTGCGCTCGGGAATCGCAAGCTGTGCGGGATTCAGCTCGTGGAGGCGCTGCTGGTTGTCTGTGGTGAAAAGGGTCTCTTCTACCAACCTGGCAGGCGTGTCAGAGAACACCATTTCCGTATGCTTTGCTACACATGCATTTCTGTGTACATTTAAAATTGTGCATTTAGCATAGTTTTGTTTTTAGATGTGTGTGTGATCTATCTATCTAATCTATCTAATCTATCTAATCTATCCATCTATCCATCTATCCATCTATCCATCTATCCATCTATCCATCTATTCATCTATCATCTATCATCTATCATCTATCTATCTAATCTATAGTTCCGGTCATTTTTTTTTTTTTTTACAATTTTATTTAAATTTTGGGGTGACTGCAATTGTGTTAAGGGACTATAACTAGAGAAGAAAACCAGCAAATGTTTATTTAAAAAATTATTCGGTGGAACACCAAAGAAAAACATTTTTTGGTAAATGTTTAGGAAAGTTTTAGTGCACATTGACTTCCATTGTATAAAAACACTGATACATTTCTCTTCTTTATGTTCCACAGAAGGAAAAAAGTCAAATAGGTTTGGAATGACATGTTTATTTTTGGGTAAACTATCCCTTTAAGTCGTAAATAGCCTACAGTTTGAAATTAATAGGATACATTTATGATATAGGCTATTAATAAACCATTAGAATACCCTTGTAAAAAAAAAGGCAGCCTTTCAGGTGCACGCTTTTTGTGACAGTATCCAATTATGAATCCCTTGTAGCCATAGCCTACTTATTGGAAATTCATTCAGGTCACACTCTCTGTCTATGTGTTGTGTAGAACATATAAAGCTATTTGATTAATTTTATTTTTCTTCTAATTTATGACTGTCTGTGTAGACTGCTTTTGAATCCTTTAACTGTCTGTCTTTCAACAGGCATCATGTTGAGGAACAGCGCCCCCTTCCTGCGGCAGACTGCAGTGGCTGCTCAGAGTGGAGAGAGAGGCACTGACAGAAGCAGTGTTGCAAAGAGAGGAATTGTAGAGCAGTGCTGCCATTTCTTCTGTGACTATTATGACCTGGAGAATTACTGTAACATATAGAGAATCTAATGCATACACACTTCACCGTAATGACAGGAAATTTTCATTTTGAGTAGCCTACTGTCTGTCTGCAGGTTTGGGATATGGTTGGCCTATATGGATGGTGTACAGCAGTGAATGAAGGATTACTTGAAATGTTACACAATGGCCTTATTTTCAATTAAAAAGTTTGCAAATATTCAAAATCTAAACGTTTTTGTTGTTGGCTCAAATAGCACAATACTGCACAGTACAAATGATTCAGGCAGTTAATAATATTAAAATATTCATTACTGTATTATTGTAGCTCAAACAGTAAAATCATGGCAATAGCAACACGCAAGGGTCTTAGGATTGATTCCCAGGAATTGCATGAACTGATAAAAATGTAATGTAATTTGCTGTGGATATGTGTAGCCTAAGTATTATTGAAAAGTCTGGCCCTGGGACAATGATAAAACAATACAATTCGTTAGGCTATGTTAAAAGGTTTTTGAACAGTATTAAAATGCATAGGCTCCAATGTTTCCAAGATAATTGTAATGTGAACTTTTTTACAGTAACTTTCCAAAAAGTCTTTGCCGTTTTAATAATTGTTAACAATTAGTCAGTTGTTCGAAACATTTAGGCTAAATTTCCCAACCATTTAAAGACCCATTTTAAATCAGTAATATAATAAAATATTGTATGTAGGCTACTAGGCCTACTAAACATCAGGTTCAAACAATCACCATGCTATATAAGACCAGCAACAAAGGACTAGCCCTACATGGCATTTATGAACTATTATAATTTTAATGTAGCTACTATAGGCTAATCTTTTGACCCTAAAATTATTTTCTAGATTTTCTATGTTCTAGATTAGAATATATCGCTTTCATCACAGAGACATTTGTTTCTATTCGATTTGCGTCATCGCCACAGACAGAAGCTGTTGAGGAAAAACATCATTTCCCATAAGCCCATGCCGGCAGTTTCACAGAAGGGGAAGCAAAATGGCGGAATCGGATGGGATGGGCCTCTTATTGTGTTTCTAAAAGAAAAATGTTTCGTGCATCTACATGTCGTTTTAAAGTTAACATCAACACCGTGGGTGGTTTCAGAGTGTTTTTAGTTTTGGGATTCACCAGCCGGCTCATCTCTGCACTGTGAAGGTAAACGGCTCTCTCTTATAGCTTGTCTAACTTAGCCAGCCCGCTAACCCCTGTAGACGACAAATTGTAGGCAATAAATTATTGCAGCTAAAATGAGAAGGTTGCTTAAAATGAAGACTTGATAAGAAAGTCAGCTAGTAATACTAAATATATCCAACATGAGTATTGGCGGTTTTCTCATGACAGTTAACAATTGAGGAAATAGGTAGGCAAGCACTGCAGTGGAGAACACGTAAGTTACTAGATAGCATCGTATGTAGCATCATCTGAAATCAGTTTCATCCACTGTACACGATCAGTGCTGTCACTGGGTCAAGAATTGAAGCCGCAGTGTTGAGTGTCAATACAGATCATGCTTTCTGATCAGTTTACTCGAGTGATCAAGTTCCCATGAGTGGTCTTCTAGTTAAAGACAGATCAAATGCAGAAGTAGTTTTAACACATCCTTGTCAAAACGGGTGCAGCTCTATGATTGCTCAGAGCTGAGGTTTCAGATCTAGGCTATTCATAACAATAGTGTTGTGTGATGTGTGTTGTCTGCTATGTGTAGATGGGAACAGATGGACAGGCTGAAAAGGATGAAGTAGAAGTTGTGCCAGGCAAGGTAAGTGTCACATAAAGCGATATGAAACTGTCCTTGTTGGTGCAGGTGCAGGTTGGACAGTCACCGTGATCACATACTGTAGACGATGAGATGAATATTTAGTGTGCACAGCTCTCTCTCTGCTGAATTCACTGAATGTCTTCAGTCTCATGTACTTGTAGTCACAGACTGAACAATGTCCCGTTGAAGAGGAGGAAGTTGAGTCCAAAGCAGACAGAAGGACAGTTGGCTTAAGATGTTTCCAGGGAAACAGAGAGACCTCGGAGGATGAGCCTAGTGAACTGGTAAAGTAAAATCATTTACGCTATTTGCAATATTGTAAGTTATTAGGTTCTGTCTTGTTACATGCTTTGTCTGTCTGTAATTTACCCAGTTTGAAACCGGTGACCTGAGTTGACCCTTTAACCGTTGAATTTGTGTTACACTCTTGTAGGGGGCTGCTGTTGTTTCTTCCTTTGAACCTGTATTTCTTGTGCCTCAGATCAGCTCACAACCTCAGTACCTAGACTGGTAAGTGCTTAATTAAGCACACAAAATTCAAAATTGAGCTTGATAGTAGCTATTGATGTCCTATCCAAAAATATGACTTTGTTTGCTACTTAAATGATCATTTTTAAAATTAAAATTAGAGGTATTTGAGTGTTGTGTCAGTGATGTGTTGATTTTTATAAAAGATTGTTTTATTGGGTCAATCCGTGTCAAATCGACCACATTTTGTAAACTTCCCCTGCTCAAATTTTTTATTTTGTTAATATTTTTTCTGTAGAAAAACGCTAACGTAGACTAACCATGTTCCGTACAACAACGATGTTCCGTACAGATTAACTTTAACCGCCGATCGCTGAATAAATACCTCTAGGTCATACACAAAATACATATCTGTGTCGTCTTCATTTCTCCCTCTTTCATCCCCGATCAAAACAGAGACACTCCAGCTGTATGTTCCAGTGATATTTCAGTTAGTTTGCCAGGTGCGCCCACTTCGCTTGAAAATTGATCGTGGGCAAGCTATACTTCAGACAGCGGCTTGGGTGGGGAGACAACTAGAGCAACGAAAATGTACATTTCAATTTCATTTATGCTTTTCCCAGTATAACAGTCTTTATTAAATGAATATTATGCTATCACAAATTGTTAAATATATTACCCTTTTGTTGACTAAATGCTGTGAAATGGGGATTTTTAAACGATTGCGGCCGATGACTGTTTGGCGCCACTCTCAGGCAGCAAAAAAGGCTGCACGTCTGTCAGCAGTGCAGTGATGATGTTTATATTCATAAAGGGTCAATTAAGTTAATATTAACATAAATTGTTACATGATTAAATATTTTAACATTAAAATTAATCAGTTGACCGGTTAATTTTCCATTTCGCCGTTGAAAATAAGTTATTCGCTCTGTACGGAACACCATTATAAGCCTGTACGGAACATCGTTAACGATTATCATCTTCCGTACACAGGTGGAGGAGGTAGTTTTCCCCACTTTTCTCAAAAACTATTGGTCCAAAAGACATCAATCAAAGTGTGGACCAATCAATGGGTATTCCCCCGGAGAATGATCACACAAACATGCTAGTCTTGCTCTCAGAAACGGAGGAGTGGTCGCTGACGTGCGGTGATAGGCTAAAAGTGTACGGAACATGGTTAGTCTACGTTAAATGTTGTTACATTTACTGAGTAATCCACTATTTTGTGGAGGGGAGTCAAAATTACACATGAGATTTGGAGGCAAATTACAGGGGGTAAAATGACTTTAGAAAGACGGCAGCATCATTATTTTATTTTTACATAGAGATTGGTTGGTCTATTAGTAAAATCTGTTGACTTTAGCCATCTTTGTTTCATTACATGCCAATGGTGACAGTTAAAAAATGGCGAAATGCACTAATTCTGTTGTTGTTTTTTGCCTCAAATTTTGCATGCCTGTAACTTTTAAAGACAACTTGATATCCTTTTAGATTTTGGTTCTTAACAAACTTTTCTTTTGGTATCTTCATTTTTAAGATATGGTCATGTTAATGTGGCTCCATGGGTAAATTGGTCAATTGTAAACATTTTCAGTGATCAAAAACCAAATGTGGCACACTTTGCATACAGCTGATACTTTTTTTCTTTTAAAGAGGAATATCTGAAGAACAAATAATGTTGGAACTAGAAATGTATCTCGTGTTTTACTATCAACACAATTGTGTAGAACACATCTGTCTGAGTGCCATAAATATTACTTTTCCAAAGTTGATATGCATGTAACTCTAAAAGTATTCAAGATATCTTAATATCCTTCTAGATTCTCATTCTTGATAAATTGTCCTAGTGAAATCTTCATTTTCAAGGTCCTATATAGTTCAGTCCCATACGGTACCTCAAAGCAGCTCCATGTTACAATTGCTGAATTTTACTCATTTTCAGTGATCAAAAATCAAATGTGGTTCACTCTGCACACAGCTGATACATATTGCATTTAAAGAGAAATGTCTGAAGAATAAATAATGTTTAAACTATAAATGCACCTTCTTTCCCTCCATCAGAAGAATTGCATAAAACATAATTCTCAGAGTAAATAAAATCCACGGAAAATGGTTAAGTTGAGGCACATTAACTTGCTCTCAAACATGTATTTATAAGAATCTATATTTGAATCAGTTTTACGAGTATTTGGAAGATGGGATTTTGTTCATTTTAACAGCTTCTGAAGCTACCAAGAGTTCAAATAACGTAACTACATTTTACCACATTGATATCCCTATATCTATGGGATTGAACCATATAGGGCCTTTAAAATGAAGATTCCAAAAGAAAATTTTCATAAGAACAAGAATCTAAAATGACATTAGATATCTTTAACACTTCTTGAATTAAAGAAATGTAAACTTCGGGAAAATGTTTGTTTTTGGCACTTAAAGGGATAGTTCGGCCAAAAATGATATTTAACACATGCATTACTCACCCTCAAGCCGTTCGAGATGCATATGTCAATCTTGTTTCAGACGAACACATTTTCAGTTATTTTAGAAAATGTCTTAGACCCTTCAGTGGATATAATGTGAAGCAATGGGGTCCACCTCCTTCAAGTCCCAAAATGTGCATACATCCTTCACAAAAGTAATCCATCCGGCTCCAGGGGGATAAACGAAGGCCTTCTGAGGGTAATCCGTGCGGTTTTGTCGTAAAAATATACATATTTAAAACTTTATAAATGAAAATATCTGACTTCCGGCAACGATCGACGCGCGTTCACGGGTGATGGAAGTCGGCGTACGAG